GGCGCCGAGCCTGTGCTGTTGTTTTAATGTAGATTCCCAGAGCTTCTTGGTCCAACGTTGCCCTTAAATTTTATCTTTTATTGTTCATTGTACTTAGCATTGTTATTATTGGTGGCACCTCTCCCTAGCCAGGGCAAAAAGCAAACAGACCAGGTGCCTTAAGCCAAAGAAACTTTCACAAGGAATTTGGGGGGGAGGGGGTTGACTCCCCTGGAAACTTTATAGTTTGTTTACTTTCTCTGTCCTAAATTATTGAATAGTGAACAGAACACTTGTAAGTTCTAATCTAAATAATCAGCCCCTGGGAACAGATTTCTCTTTTCTGGTCTTCTGTATGTTTTCTGTGCATTGATTGTTACTTGTGAAATATGGGAAGGCACAGAGCATACCTTTAGCTGCAGCTCTCTTCTCTTTCCAGAGCAGGTAAGGAATTTTAGAAAGTCCCTTTGCCTGTTAGCTAGGACTAAACAGTCATCAGTCTGGAGCACAGAGCAGCTGGGGGAAGGGAGCCTAGAGAGCTAAAACTCTTATTTCAGAGAAGTGTGGCCTTGTTGAGGGTTTTGGAAAATTAGCACACTACTTCTAAATTACGTACAGGTTACACAATTTTATGCAATGCAGTTTGATCTTTCAAACAATATTTAAGCAATTACTTTTATTCGACATAATCATCTTGCTGGAAATTGAACTAAGAATAGAGCTAGGAGTTAAAATACATAGATGGCAGCTCATTGTACCAAGTATAAAGAGGCTCAGTGGACAGAGTCCATGGAGCTACAGAAAGCAGCTGGACCAAGACATCCACCATGAGGGAAGGGGGAGTTTGTGACCAAAACATGACGAAGGCGGGGAACTTTTTTTTTTTCAAGTAAGAGATCAAGAGTGGAAAAGGAACCTAAGTCATAAAATAAGTGGCATGAAAGAAGCAATGTGATATTATGTGGTAGAAAATTTTAAAAAGAATTGATAAGACAAAAAGGAAGAAATCTAGAAATAGTCCTTTCCTCTTTCCTTAGATGACTCAGTCTTAGAAAATTTTACAAAATGTGTACTATACAATATTTCGTAACTGGTATTTTGCGTGTCTATTTTTATAGGCAGCCTCTTGAATGATGTGAGCAGTTTTCTTAGAGTAAGACAAGAAAGCTTTGTAAATGGTGTTGAATTTCCTGCTCTTGGCTGGCCCTGTGCAGCACAGGAGAAAAAAACTGATCAAGTTGTCCAAGATGGAGCCCTTTCTCCACTTTAGTCCACTTACCTAAGATGAAAGGAAAACCATCATTAAAAATATGAGTCCCGTAGTTACATCATTCTTTTTCCAAAATACTTCCTTTGAAGAGTGATGCTATGAGGGGCGGGAGGGTATGCAGGTGTTCTCTGCTTTTTGCTGTTTTTTTTAAAAATAACAGCCTTTCTTCAGATGCTATTTGTTCTTATCACCCTGGCGTACTTTACTAGAGCTGAAGTTGTTATTTATTAAAAAGAGACATTATTTTCTGTTGGCTAATCAGACTTTACCCATTACCTACCTCCTAGCCTTTGCTCAACTTTCCTTAAGGCCACTTTCCTGCAACTCGTATGTCTACAAAATAAGGAGATCGGAACCTGGCAGCCCCTGGGAAGAACACCAGGGCAATTTCTTTTTAAGATATTGGATCTTCTCCAGCCAGTGACAGGGGTGCAGTGGAACGGAGTGATACTCTCTTCTCAGTAACACCATGAATTCTGACAAGGAGCCCATTGTCCTCCGTGACACCTGAGACTGAAACTGGAAGGTGAGCACAGAGCAGGTGATCAGCAAGGAGTGCCCACACAGACAATGCCTCCTTCAGTGAATCCAGGATCCTAAGGGGTATCCTTCAAACCCAGTGGCACGTACACTTCTACCTTGAAAAAGAAAGTCGGGCATCCCCAAGGGGTTTCTGTGGTGCTTCTCTGAATGATTCATATTCAGACTTCCCTGAACATTTGTGTTCTTTTTTTAATTAAATTGTCCTCTGTGCCTTTAAGAGCCAGCTCTAGTCTTAGGACGGCTCTCCTAAACCCAGGAGACTGCCTGTGTCCTGCCAGACTCTTCCCTGAACTTTGTAAGGCACCACTATCCCCACAACTTTCCAGACATCACTTGCTCCTCAGAAACAATAAATCCTAGCTTTTTATTCAACAGACATTTAATCAATGCATGCTAAGTGCCAGGCATGGTACTAGACATCAGGGACACAAAAATGGATAAATAGCCCGGGCACAGTGCCCTGCACCTATAATCCCAGCACTCTGGGAGGCCGAGGCAGGTGGATCACCTGAGCTCAGGAGTTTGAGCCCAGCCTTAGCAAGAGTAAGACCCATCTCTACTAAAAATGAAAACAAGCAAGAGGATCACTTCAGCCTGAGAGTTTGAGGTTGCCATGAGCTGTGATGGGTAGAGATGCAGGGATGGCACTCTACCCAAGGTGGCAGAGAGACTGTCTCAAAAGAAACAGAACCCCAAACCAAAAATGGATAAGTAAAACAAGGTCCCAGAATATACCGTTATATATGAGGTATAGGGCAAAGCCCTGGCCAAGGATCAAAATGGCTTTGAGCCCTGGCTTTCCTACTCATTAGAGATAATACACCTTGAATTCCTTGAATAATTCTCCAAGGAGTTCCCAGGAGATCCTCAAACTGGGAGGTGGGGGGGGGGTAGTTGTGTCTGCTTCGTATGGAACAGTTAAATACCAACACTTCTGAAATTAGCTATATGTTTCTAGGCTGTTAGAATTTTTCACAATGCTGTGACTTCATGAAGGGAAAGGAGAGGATTAACTCTAACCTGATCAAAGTAATGTGGTGGAAACCAGCCCTGAGAGGAAAGAAGGGCAGCCTCGGGGGTGGTAAAGCTGATGGGAGCCACTCACTATTTTAGCCTCCCTGCCTGTGCTGTTTTCTGTCAGTAAAGGGGGTTTACAGCCCCAAACTCCCTGCTTAGATTAACCTTGCTAGCAGAAGCTGCAGAGACAGAACAGGAGGGAAGAGGAAACGTATATAACCCAGGTGCCATCTTGAACTGATTCAGAGTTCAACACAGAGTTTGAACTGGTTTTTTAATCAGAACCTGGAAGAATGAGAGGACTTATATAAAAAATCATTTTTTAGGTGGCGCCTGTGGCTCAAAGGAGTAGGGTGCTGGCCCCATATAGCAGAGGTGATGGGTTCAAACCTGGCCCTGGTCAAAAACTGGAAAAAAAAAATCATTTTTCAAGCAATCAGCAGAATCAATCAATGAGGCATCTCCTGTTTTCTCCTTTCTAACTTTCTCAGATCTGTCTGACGTCAGCAAGCCCAACATTTTACAATCATTTATCATATAAGTATGTTGTTGCTTTTGACATTAATGCTGGAAGCATGTCTTATCTTTCTGGAAGACCATCTGTGCAAGTGTTGGTGACAGTCACCACAGTCAAGATTCAGATGTTGGCTCAGCACCTATAGCTCAACCAGCTGAGGCGCCAGCCACGTACACCTAAGGTGGCGGGTTCGAATCCCCAGCCC